CGCAGTTGGAGTGTTGGCCAATGCACTTTACTATTTCAAAATTTTGGTCACCATTTAAAATCATAATTAAAGGAAAAAGTACAGATAATGTGGAAGAGAAAGTAAAAATTTATCATAGTTGAATTTTTTTTTCTTCGAGAGTCGAAATGATAATTTTTGAATAATTAATTCTCTGTTAAATTTCGAAGTTAATTGATGTCAAATACTCTATGTACTATATACCATTGACTCATTGATTCAGTTTTGAAAAAAACAAAAAAATTAAATTAGACAGAGAAAAAAGCAAAGGAGATGACATAAAGTGTATAGGAACAATACCTGTAGTAAACACTAGGTTATGCGTACGGCAGCGTAGAGTATTGCAGTCAACTAGTTAACAACTATAATAAGCATGCCATCATACTTCTTTTATGCATCAACGGTGGATTGTTTGCTTCCGGAAATATAATCGGAATAATTTGTTTTGCTTACTAGTTCAAATTTTATATCGTTGTGTATAATCAAAATCATAAATGTATACTCACAGAATTAGTCATTCGGTATTTTACTTCCAGTTGTTCCGTAATCGATTTTCTTGCTGCCTTCGAAGACGGGATTTCGAATTAGAACTAATTGGAAATCATAATTGAATTCGTCAAAAGCACAAATTTTACTTTTCTTCAAAACCTGTCTTTTTTAAAGAGGCAAGAAAGTGTGGTCTTCTCAATTTTGTGCATTAAATAAATGAATTGCTTCCCTCATTCAATTCAACCAAAAGCAAAATTGACGAAATAGATTTCTCTTCATAATTGGCCCTTCTTGTTAGTAATTCGATTCCTAACTGGAATCAATGATAGACTCTGTTTAATTTCTAAGTAACTTTATTCTGAATTTTATGGTTTATCATTTTTCTGATAACCGAGAAGAGGTTAAAGTTAAAGCAATAGATTAATTTTTCGTTGAAATGTGAAAGCATTAAATTTATTTCACGTCGCTCATTGGGCATTGTAAAATATCACCTTCTGTGAAAATTTATTACGATAAAATACGATGAGGACAAGTTTCCTTCTAACTATACAATTAATTCTGATAGAATGAATTTCCCTTACTAAGAATATTGATAACATTTTTCTATTTTATAGACGTGAACTTTATTATAGTAGTATCAATTGTATACTATCAATCATATTTGCAGGAACTTTGGATTGTTTAATATGCTGTCGTTTCTTATCACTAAACATTTCATTGCTCTAACAATAGTGTAAGTTTAAGTGTGAATAAATATTTTTGATGTTATCACATCAGTTATTTAGTTTGTTTACCCTGTTAATGCTTTTCGACTTTTTCAGAACATTACTATCAATTGCTGAAACAAATGCACAGTTTTTGCATTTAAATCTATTATCATTTAACAACAGGGCAGGCCATAATGTAAGTTTTATACTTCTTATAAATTTCATTTTCTTATAAATTTCTTATAAATTTCATTTATCTTATATGGTAATGCTTGATGTATTGCATCTATAGTTTTAAGATGATGCGCCACATATTGTAGTATGTACGTACGCATTATCATTTTAAGATAATTTTTAATCATTCTAACAAAAGCTTGTTTTAAATTGCAGTCGTTGAACAATAGCCCTGCACCTTCTCCAGCAGCTCAAACTACACTGAATCCGTTCGGCTCATTGCCTTCTGCATTTGGTGCTGGTTTGCTTGCAGGCAGCTTGTTTGGTAGAGGTTCCCCATATCCTTATTATCCTTACTACGGTGGATACGGAGGATATGGTCCGTATACGCCGACAAATTATTACATTTACTATGGTCGCTATCCATACTACTACTATTATTATCGTGGTTAACTCTTGTGTCAATACAGAAATTTGAAAAATTGTGAATAATTAAAACGTTTTGTTGGGTATTCTACAGTTATTAAACACATGATGCACTGAATAAATTTCCTAAAGCTTACACAAAGATTTTTGACTGCCTTAAAATAGTATGTGAGAATTTTAATTTTAACAGTTTGTGCATGACAAGAAATGAATTGATTATTATAATATTTCATATCAATCACTGATAAATTATCATTTAATCAATACGAAAAGTAATGTAATTTCACCTTTTTCTATTATCTACCTTAAAGAATGTAAAATTTTGTCAAATTTTCTGAAAAAAGCAATTTTACATTTCTTTCTGTCTTTATTTACCAATTCACTTAATTTTGAAAAATCGCAATAATTCCATTAGAGAGAGAGAGAGAGAGAAGAGTGAAAGAGATGACGTAAGGAGTAAAGAAAAATACTGGTAGTGAATACGGGGTTATGCCTACGGTAATAGAGGATGTTACAGTCAATTAGCTTAACAACCGTATGGATAAGCGTGCTGTAAAAATCTGTTCCATATATCCAAGCGAATTGTTCGTTTTTCGGAAATATAATCTAATGATTTGCTTTACTTGCTTAGTCATATTGTTATCGTCATGCATTTCATACAATTGAAATCTTCGATATACACTTACAGAATTAATCATACAGTATTTCTACTTCACTTGAATTGTTCAGTGATCGATTTTCTTGCTGCCTTAAAAACAATATTTCCAAGTAGAACTAATCGAAAAGTCATGACTAAGTTCAGGAATAGAACAAATTTTACTTTTTTCGAACCTGTTTTTTGTAGAGAGGCGAGGAAATGAGGTGTTATCAATTTTGTGCGTCACTATTTTAATTTTTTACATAAATGAATTATATATAAAGGAATTGGCTCCATTAATCCAGTTCAACCAGCGATAAAAGTGACGAAATAGATCTCTCTTCATAATTAACTGTCTCTGTTAGTTGCGGATGAATAATAGACTCTATATAACTTCGAAGCAACCTTGTCTGAATTTTATCGCTTATCATTTTTCTGATAATCAAGCTAATTATTTTTGACAAATTCTTGCTGAATTCAGATTTCAATCCAAAATAAGTAGTTGGTCAGCTCAACATATAATGACGAAATATATATTTTTCAAAAGATTTAATTTTTTCAGATTTAATTTAGATGACTGCTGAATGCGCTCCTAGAAATTGTCTGGAATGGAATATTTGACACCAACGACAAGTTCAGGAAACGAAGGAAATGGATTTTGTAGATTTAATGCCTTTCCCTTACAATCATTAGGATTTAATGCCTTTCCCTTACAATCATTAGCATTGTGTCTTACCATTGCGTTCAAATCATTGTTCGACAACTGAAATTTGAAATAACTTTTCATTGAGAAAGTAAACAATTAAATCAGATGACACTTGAATTGTGCGTAATATGTTATATACTGCAGCATATCATTCACAACCTCATAAGGACTGTGAAACTTCATGTTTCTATGTGCAATGTTTCTATTGAACGAGTTCACGCTCACAACTGTCAATTGTGCATTTAGTTCAGCAATTGATGGAATTGTTCTGAAAGGGGACAAAAACATTAGTCGGCTCTTCATCACTTTATTTTACATTACGGTTAGTGCAATGAAATATTTAGTGAAAAGGCATAGCCACATAATACACAGTCCAAAATTCGTGCAAATATGGCCAATAATATACAATTGATGATATTATAATAAGGTTAAAGTTTGTAAAACTGCTAGATAAATATTCATTGTATTCTAATCTGAGGGCATCATATTTGAGAATCACCAGTAAATTTAACCGGAAATTTGATTTCTCTATGTTTCATTTTTCAAAAGATGACATTGACAAGGAGAGTCAATTTACTTTTCATTTGAGAAAATGGATCCACTTAATTACTAACTGATGATTCTAATGATACACATTTTACATGGATTATGTAATTCACAAACTTAATATCACATTTCCATAATTTTTTGTAAGAAAACAGCTGATCATAAAAGAGTATAAAATTCTTGTTTTCATTAAATTCGACTACAATCCTCCTATTAGTTCTGTTAATTATCTCTTAAAGCATCAAAGAATAGAAAACAGTTGAGAGCAATAAGTTATGAAAGTGATTGTATTATTAATATTGTTGTAGATGGCTTACTTTGATGCACGATTTTGATTTTGATGTAAAGAAGTAGCCAAGGTAAACCGTGCAAGCATTCCTCAAAACAAACGTCCCACCATCTGTGAATGAAACATGTGCGGCAACACTTTTATTGGTTGTTAATCCAACTAGCACGCTACCGTATACATAACGTCATGGACTTTTCCGTTTTTATTCGGCACAATATCTCTGTTTCTTTTGTTTCTCTCTATGTATTAAATAGATCACAATGGACGAAAAGATGTGCACTACCCTCTCTTCCTTCAATTATCGTAATAACTAGTTAATTGATATTATTTCTATTTGCTTTTCAGACTTATCATAATATTCTGATCTGACAGGTCGTGACTATCATCCGTTTTGTGGTAACATTAAGAAATGTCTGAAAAGAATGGTTGTTTTTGTCAACATTCATGGAATTGCGATGTTTTAAATAGCTTTCTGACTGTTAATTGATTACGCTTTACCTTAACAAACTTGATAAGAAGTCACTTTTATCATGGTAGATGGGTCTGCTAAATGATTGGTTGTGATCCCATAAATGAATTTAAAATAGTTTGTTTCTGTTAAATAAATGAAAATATATAACAGTAAGTTATTATTTATTGAGACTACAAAATTTAATTGTTAAACAGATAAGTTATATAGCTCAAAAAAAGATCACTTCTAACTTTTCCAAATACAGAAATTTATTCATCTGTTCATAACTTAGCAATTAATATAAAATTCATAATGATTAATGAGATTACTGTACTTGGTGATCTATGGCATATATAAGCTAGTTGCATCAACTATCGTAAATTTTATGCAGCAAAATCACGAAAGAGTTCATTAGAAATGAGGGAAAAAATAAAAGCAGGAAATTATAGTGTGTAATACGACTTAATAATTAATTTTCAACTATTTACAATTAACATAAAACATTTATTTTTCACTCTTTCATTTTTCTCTCTGTCTAACTGAATTCTTTCGTTTTTTTCAAAGTTAAGTGAATTGGCACATGAAAAGGAATAGAAATTAAAAATTGCTTTGTTTCTAGAGACTGTTGCATTTCAAGAATCATACAGGCCTAAGCGTATAATTTCAAGAATTCAACATTCCTTAGCAACATTTTGTTTCGAAAGATTTGTCACAAAGATACGTAATGAAATAGCAAAGTATTCAGCTGACAAAATGTATGTTCAAAGATTATCAATCGATTCTTGGGAGACCTAATCTTGTATTTAGAAAGGAATTAGACGGTTATTAAGATCATGAAGTCGAACTTCTGCATTTCGGAAGGAGTTAAGTAGAACGGACGGATGGACGGACATAAACAGTCGCCGAATTATATGCAACTCAAACAATTGTTATGATGAATTGCATATGGTGGAAAATATCCCACTCGTTTAGCTTAAATTTTCCCAATGACAGCACGTATTTGATGTGAAAGAAGAAATAAAGAGATGAAGGAGAACTGTTGCTTCAAATATCTGACCATTTTTTGGAAAGAAATTCAAATATGATAAACTTTTTCTTTTTCTCCCACGTCATCTGTACTTTTTCATTCAATTATGACTTTAAAATTTTGAAGTGATAAGATACACTAGCCAGGAATAATTAATAAGGCTACTTGTTGATTAAGGCTTGATTATTGGATGAAGAATGGAGCCAGAAGAGATGCATAATATGTTACAACTACAGCATATCATTCATGACCTCATAAGGAGTGTGGAACATACATTTCTACGTTTGTTTATGTTTCTCATTGGAAAAATTTAAGCCTGTGTTGATTACTCTACATTTTGTTTTTCAAATGATAACATTGAGAGGGAGAGATAAATTTAGGTTAATTAATTTTCAATAATGAAGCAGATTTAATTATTAATTGATGATTCTAATGCGACATCTTTATGTAGTAGGCAAAATTGATATCATACTTTCATGCCCTTTTGCAAGAAAAAGCTGTTCCCAAAAGAAAATACAATTCTTGTTTTTAATAATTTCAATTACTGTTCTATTCCTGAAATGTGATCTCTGAAAGTATCAAAGGATAAGAAATTAATGATTTTGATGTATGAAATAATGAAAAAACAGTGTTATCAATTATTCCTGCCAATGTATTTCACTATCTCAAAATTTTAAAGTCATCATTTAAGGAAAAAGTACAGATGACGTGGAAGAAAACAAATAGGTTTATCATAGTTGAATTTTTCCCTAAAAAATGGTCGAACCAACAGTTCTCCTCCATCTCTCTATTATTTCATTCATATCAAATGTGCGCTGTCATTGGGAAAATTTAAGCTAAACAACTGTAACATTTTCCGCGATATACAACTCCTCAAAACAATTATTTGAGTAGCATATATTCGGCGACTGTTTATGTCCATTCATCCGTCCGTTCAACTGATTATTTTTTCGAAATGGAAAAGTTCAACTTCATGGTTTTAGGAATCTGTTTATTCCGTCCCTAAATACGCGATGAGATTTCCTGAGAATCGGAATGATAATTTTTGAATGTATATTTTGCCAGTTGAATTTTAAAGCTTTCGAATTTTGAGTTTTGAAGAATTTTGACTTTAAATACTTCGCTATTTCATTTGACACGTAATGAAATAGCGAAGTATTTAAAGTCAAAATTCTTTGTGATGTTTTTCGAAATATGAATCGGTCATGTTGCTTAGGACTGTTGAATTCTTAAGCGCAACAGGCTCCAGAAGCAAAGCAATTTTACCTTTCTATCCTTCTTCATATGCCAATTCATTCAATTTTGAAAAGCGAAAAACTTCAATTAGACGAAGAGGAAAATAAAAGAGATGACGAAGAGAACATAGGAACAACACTTGTTGTGAGTACCATCAGGGATCACTCTGTTGATAATTTAAATATGGATCTGGATCATATGTCTTTGGAAAAGGAGCGTCTGGATTTTGAAAGAGAAAGTTATGCACAATTTTGAAAGAGAAAGTTATACACTTCAATTAGACGAAGAGGTTATGCACATGACAGCAGAGGGTTACAGTCAACTAGCTTAACAAATACAGAAGACAATAAGCCGAAGGGATTTGGTGTAGTTTGAGGTGCTGCTGGACGAGGTGGTGGAGGAGCAGCTCCAGGCGCTTCATTGTTTAACGACTGAAATTTAAAATAAGCTTTCTTTTATTATTGTTCAACGATCAAAACTTAACATAA